GACTGAAAATATTGTCGAAGTTTTCGTGCTGCCACTATCAGTGCAAGGGCAAGTTGTTCTGTCAAAGTGTATCTTGTTTCTGCATCAAGTAGGACTTTACTTACTTAATAAATAGGTTGCTGGGCCCTGTAACCTCTTTCACCAAGACACCACTCACTGCATTCTGAGATACGGTTAAGTATAAATACAGAGTATACTCAGGCTCGGGTTTGGTGAGGATAGGAGGAGATTCCAATGTCTGCTTGAGCTTTTGAAAAGCCTTCTCGCACTCCTCATTCCATTCAAAGCAATGATTATCCCTGAGGGCTTTGAAGAAGGGGAAACACCTGTCTACTGCTCGGGACATGAACCTGTTTAAGGCAGCTACCTTGCCTGTCAAATTTTGAATCTCTTTCTTGGTCCTTGGTAATTCCATTGCTGCCAGAACTTGAATCTTGTTGGGGTTGGCCTCAATCCCCCGATGAGTGATCATGAAATCCAGAAACTTTCCTGAAGCTATGCCGAATACACACTTCTCCGGGTTGAGCTTCATCTTATATTTTCGTAGGGTGACGAACACCTCCTCTAGGTCGGATATGTGTTCCTCCACCTTCTTACTCTTTACAACCATGTCGTCCACATAGGCCTCGATGTTCTTCCCTATCAAATCGGCGAAGACTTTGTTGATGAGCCTCCGATATGTCGTCCCAGCATTTTTTAATCCAAATGGTATCACCCTATAGCAATATATGGCTGAATCAGTCATGAATGAAGTCTTCTCTTGGTCTTTTTTAGCCATGAGGTTTGATGATACCCTAAGAATGCATCTAAGAAGCTGTACAGCTTATGTCCGGATGTGCTATCCACAAGGTTATCAATCCTTGGTAGCGGGTAGCTGTCCTTTGGGCACGCCTTATTAAGATCTGTGAAGTCAATACAGACCCTTCATTTACCACTGGCTTTTTTCACTAGAACAATATTAGCGAGCCAATCGGGGTATTGGACTTCCCTTATGAACCCCGCTCTCAACAATTTGCCGACTTCTTCCTGAATGACCACACGTCTTTTCGGCACAAACTGTCTCTTCCTTTGCTTAACAAGTTTGGCCCCTGGGCTGATATTGAGTTTATGGACAGCTACTTCTGGGTCTATCCCTGGCATATCCCTCACCTTCCATGCAAAAACATCAATGTTGCAGGACAGACAATTGATGACTTCTTCCCGGAGGTTGGCCTTGAGATCCCGATCAATAGTAACGACTTTTCCGTGCTCGAGCTCGACCACTTCCAATTCTTCAACGGGGGCCAATCTACCCCTTGACTCGAGCTCGAGCTTGAGGTCTGAAAGTTGCATGACGTCAGCACTCATTCCTCGGATGCTAGTAACATAGCACTGTCTGGCAGATGTTTGGTCTCCTCAAACTACTCCGATGCCATGACCTGTGGGGAACTTCATGGTCAGGTGGAAAGTTGACACAATAGCTTGGATCTTGTTCAGTAGGGGTCTTCCCAAAATGATGTTGTAGGCCATTGGGGTATTAACCACTTAGAATGATGTGATCTCCGTTACTTGTGTATTACCAGTTCCTAATATAAGCGGGAGCTCGACGATGCCTTCAGCGATAATGACGCCACCACCAAATCCCTATAGGGGAGTTTTTACTGCTTTGAGCTGTTTGGGAGAGATCCGCACTTTGGCAAAAGCCTCCTGCGAGAGTATATTTGCTGCACCGCCATTATCAACTAGAATCCTCTTTACTTCGAAGTTAGCCACAACCGCAGAGACGACCAAGGCATCGTCATGAGGATATGATATTCCTTCCAAATCTCTTGCTCCAAAAGTGATGTCTTTGACTTCATCACGGGATTCTCTTGGGGTATGAGCATGTTGGCGGGCATACTGCTTTCGCCCACTACTTGTGTCTCCATCGGATGCTATGCCCCCAACGATAATATTAATGATTCCGGCAATGGGTTGAGCACTGCTTCCGGCCCCAGGCTCTTTCCGATTGTTACGATCATTCCTTGGTCGTTTATCATGACCAATGTAATTCTTTAAAAATCCTCTTTTGATAAGAGCTTCAATTTCTCGCTATAAAGCATGACAATCCTCTGTAGTATGCCCATGATCCGGTGAAATTCGCAATAATTGCTCCTATATCTTGTGTCAGGGGACGACTTCATCCTTGAAGGCCACTTTAACTCTTTCATATCCTTAACCTCCATCAAGATGTTTGTCTTAGAGGTGTTCAACCGAGTGAGAGGTGCTGACGGCGCCTCGTTCCTGGGCTTATCCCGAATGCCGGGGGACGGATCATGTTGCCTCTTGTTCTCGGTCTTTTCATGGGAAGGACCAAGTCTCCTTGGATTTAGTTTCCTCCATATTAATGTATTTTTCAGCTCGGGTGAGGAGCTCGGTCACTGTTTGCGGCGGGGTCTTTGATAAAGACATCTTGAAAGCTTCACATCTTACGGCGTAATTGAGGGCGGAGACAGCTGCTGTGATGTGAAGGTCGGGTATCTGAAGCCTTTCCTTGTTGAACCTTGTCATAAATCCTCGTAGGGTTTGAGTTGGTCCCTGGCGAAGTTGCATGAGAGAGGCCGTGGTCTTCCTGATTCGTTTGCTACTTGAAAAGAAGGCTGAGAACTTATCGGCCAAATCTGAGAATGAGGTTATGGAGTTGGGCTCTAATGTCGATAACCAATCCCTAACAGTATTAGGCAGCGTTTGTGGAAAGGCTTTGCACATAACCTGATCCGGCGCAACTTGCAAGTTCATGACATCAGTGTATACATTGAGATGGTTGATGGGGTCAGTCGTCCCATCATGCTCTTTAATGCGAAGATATTTGAATCTGTCGGGCAAGAGATATGACAATATCTCTGGCGTGAATGGAGTGTTAGGGGTGAAACTTGTTGGCCCCCGAGCATTCCGTTGCACGCCAGCTGTAATTCCTTCTTGAATGATCCGAGCAATTTCACCGGAATCCATGGCGACCGATCTCGAGCCCGAGGCCATATTGTGAATAACCGAGGTTCCTACTTCGCCAGTTGCGGGATTTAGTGGTCGTGCTCGAGCATCAGCCATAAACCACCATGCTCCGCCTGCGCTGGCGACGGATGTGAATTTCTTTGACTTAACAGTTACGTGAGCGTGGCCACCTGCTAACGGAGCTCTTCAAAGGCTTCGGTTGTGATGACCGCTGGCAGAGGTGCGGGCACTCCTGACGATTCTTCATGGGGAGCCGGTTGATCTTCAGCAGTATGAGGGATAGGAGCGGATGAGCTTGCGGCAGGAAGACCTGATCGTGTGTTAACCATGGCTTTTGGTAGCATTCCCATAGACGATGCCAATAATGCTACCAAAAATCGTACCTGCAGATTTTTCGAGCTTGATGATTTGGATTGAGCACGATCGTAGTCTTCCGATACCTGAAACAAAGGCAACAAAGTATATTCTCGTCGCCCCTCCGATGCTTAAGTCAGAAAGAAAATTATATGTATGAGGCTATAAATTGGAGAATAATGAAAATCGTACCTGAATAATGGCTCAATGTTCTGTATTTATAATAGTAAGCGACATTCCTCTAGTAGGACTCAACTAGCTGGATGTCCTTATCTGTTGGAGTCCTGTACAGTTAAGGAGTTAGTCAAATACCATAATTATATGTGGGATAGAATCCTTGCGGGAGTCAAGTATATGGTTGAGTTAGAGTCCTAATTGCATAGGAATTCTAAAGGGTCAACAATCGTAGGTTGTGAGGGGGAGTATATGCTCGAGGACAAGTATCGCAATATGTAAAGTAGCCAGACAGGGAGTGTTTGAGCATGATAGCCCAGGGAGACCATGCTCGAGCACTCCATATGTGGAATTGCAAGTTCAGCTAAAATTGGTCGTCGGGATAATTAGTGATCGGATTGCAGGGAATGTCAGTGTCATATAGGTTTTTCCAATAGTGGGTTTCATTGAAATTACGAGCGAAGATGTCACTGTCAAGTTTTCTAAACTCCACTTCTTCAAGAGGACAGGGTCTGTAGGTTTCTTCGTATCACTGGTAATGTAACCAATCTTCCCTTTATTGTCAATGATTAACTTTATTGACTGAGCCCCATTCTTGATAGTTCATTTCGTTTAGTTTTTCAACTGTGGGATAGGAGGAGGAGTTATCGGGACTGTGTGACTCCATTATTGAGGTGGCTTCGGTTCCATCGTTTGATGGTTCAGTGGTCATCGACCCTTTACTGTTGACAGGGATATCCGCCATTAGTTGCTAGGTTTGAAGGACCTAGCTCTGATACCATATAGACAGAGAAAATATTCTGTGTATCTCTATATATTTTACAACTTCATCACATCCAATTTATTCTACACTAGAAGAAAAGAAAAGGAAAACATGATCTGCTAATTCTGGAGATAAATTACCCTACCAAATAACTCGAAAACTACAATCTATTATTAATACAATTTCCATTCTAGGTTTCTACAATTGTCTTATCAGTTTTATCCATGACTTTTTTCCTTTAAAAGCAGGGACACGTGAATGCATGATAGAAGAATTGCACCCCCTCTGTTCTTGAATGAGTTTAGTGATGTGTGAATAAGTTTCATATTGGCCCTGCACCCCACTTCTGTTAACATGTACATTTCCCATAATATGTCTGTTTAGGATGTTTGGTCAAAGTTCTGAATATAAATAGCATTTGATGTATGTGACCAGTTTGAAGATTGGTTTATTTTCTATGCTTCGAGTACAACCAATAGGTAACTTTAGAGCCAACAGAATATCATGAGCACATATTTCCAGAATCATTCAATTTCTCATGCATGCTTTAAAATGTTCTCAATTAGTGCAATGTTGGGACATTTACTGGAAATGTTGTGGATGACTAATTTGCGTGCTTTTTGATCAAAATTCCTTCCTTTTCCCCCTTTGATGAAATCAACATACCATTTACCTACAATCATCTGCACAAGTTTCATAGATCTGAAGCTAATGCGCTGATGGGTGTTTGTCATGACAGGTATCGTGACCAGTTTGTGGTTGCCAATTTTGACAGTGCTCCAACAGCTGATTCAGAAAACTACAGCAAGCTAGACACAGGAGATTGCGACGAGCACGAACAGCGTGTAAGGGCTTATCAGAAACTGCATGACATGTTATATTGTTATTTGTTAAAAAAAATGTTCTCTTCAAAGCATAGATTGCCCTCTGTTGTCATTTCATAAGTGTTGCTCAAATTGGAAATTCTTATTGATTACAGAGTTCACAAAGAATGGGAAAAAGTGTGTGTGGGTGGGAGGGGTGGGTTAATATAGTTGAACGAGAAAGTTTGTAAGGTTAGGTTGCTTGGAAACTCTTCGGTACTTGGAGCGTGCAAATTGGGAATCTCCTTCTGCTTTGTTGTCTCCTTTGGTCTACTCAGTTATAGGGAGGGATAAAGGAGGTTGAGATTTGTCATTTTCTGAATTGCTATACTAGAAAATGATTTTCTTAGAGCTTCTTAACAGCCGTAGAGTTTCGACATTTTTCTGTATGGATTTTTCAATTTGCTCCTGGACTCTTGATATCTGAATCCTGCCTAACTGAAAGTTGAAATATTTTGATATCGATCATCTCCTTTGCAAGCCTAGTTCTTAGTCCTAGTATGACCTCTTGGTTTCTCAATGACTTCTAATTTCTCTTGATGCGCAGAGAAGAGTTTGTTCAGATAGTTTTATTGGTAGAACCTTAAAACTCTACCGAGGATGTTCTTTTGCAAGCAAAGATTGGAGTGTATAGGATTAACACTGGGATTTGAATTTATCCATCTACCGTACAGGCAATTATGAAAAGTTTTATGGCATCAAGCTCGAGTTCAGACAGACCTGACAAATTTTTGTCATACATGGTGCCGTCAGTTGGTGAGGTAAAGAATACTAAAAAATGAAAATGTGCTTAAATATTTTTGTTGATTTAGCCTTGATTTTTCACTTGGCTAATTTGTCACCTTTTATTTGTTGAATGGTGGCAGCTGAAGAAGGATATGGATGATGAAAACGAAGATATCGTTTATTCATGTATCCGAGAGTATCACTTTGATGTGCGTAATGTATCTTATTGTCAGTTTCAAACGTCTTTTAGTGCAACTGTTCACATATCATATCTTGATAATTGCTTCACAGGTTCGAGGTGATGATGCAGATGACCCTACGACATATCTCTTGGTATTTGGTGATTCAGAAGCTAAATATCTGGTAAGTTTCTAATTTTTAGCTTGTAAATTCTGTAGGGGAGACCTCTTTGTACTAATTCACATCGAACTTCTAATAGCCACTTCCGACAAGGCTCCTTTTAAGGAAAAAGAGAGCGAGGGAAGGAAAATCAAGTGACACAGTTGAATACTTTCCTGTGCCTAAAAGGTTGACGGTTAGGAACAGATCCACTGTTTCTGCCAGAGAATTGAAAGATGCCGAGGTATGTTTGATGTGACCCTTGATTCTTCCATAGTGTTCATTGTTATAGCTATAATGTCAATATCATCTCATGGCGTGCATATGAGCAGGATTGTTTAGCTTCAACGGGAAGATTTGGTGCGGATGGGAAGGGTGTAAATCATCCTGATGCTGATGATCACTATGGTGGAGCTGAAGATTATTTTTCTGATTAGTTACTCCTTTTATGCTCTGGACAATAAACTGTTATGAAAAAGAAAGCTTTGTAGTAAGATTTTTTACCTGAAATTTTAGTTCAGTCTTTGGACATACTTAGGGCTGCACAAAAAATCGCAAACCAAATCGAAATAGTTGGTTTAGGTCCACATTGACCCGTGGTTTTTCCTCGAATCAAACCATTTCAAAAATCTCACAAAATTGAATCGAACCGTTTTTAAATTTTTTAATTAAAATATTAATTTTATTAACTTATAAATTTTATAGTTTTTACTTTGGGAACAATACATAATTAAGATCTTTAGTATGCACAATTTCAAATCTAAGAAACATATTTCAAATATTCAGAAATCAGGTTATAAATTGATATATAATATATAGTATATATTATATACGGAGAAGATATATATAAACATGGTATGAAAAATTATAGTTCCTGAAACCAAGGAGCCAGTTACCATTTCAAAAGAATCTTCCAAAAAATTGCATTTCTATGCAAAAAAGTTACCATTTCAAAAGAATCTTCCAAAAAATTGCATTTCTATGCAAAAAAGCCAGAAATATCAAAATGGCGCAATTCATCGCGATTCCCACCCACAAAAACTGCAATTGAAAATTATTTGTTTACAGAGGTCACAAGCAATCGAATTAAGAGAACATAATCAGTCATCAGTGCGTGCTTTTACAATTTGCATTATCATCCATATGTGATTTAAAGTGTGTTTTATTTCAATAAAAGAATGGATTGTAGACGAAGACTTTCATTATTTATTCGTATTGATGTTATAGTGGTTACAATCGAGTATTATAGGTGAATCAAAATTAAAAATTGCATAGTGCATTGCAAATGTGAGTGTGTGACCAAAAGTCGTGGCAATGTGATATTGGTCACAGTTCCATATTCTGTAGCGTAAAATGTGTGTGCATGAGGCAAGAGTTTTTGTCTGTGACGTTCAAATTCCTTTGTTACGCATGCCGAGTTATGGAAAACATACCAAAAACTCTCTATCACTTAAATTTATCTTTGTGACCATGTTTTGTGTTTGTGATCATAATTCTTCTCTGTGTCAACAAATCTCCATTATCTCTGTGACCTACATCTGAATGAATTGTGACTAGGAATGATATTTTTTACTGAAATTTTCTTGTGCACTATTGCAGAAATGGGATATGTTCAGACATGCTTGCTATATGGAGCACATTCATCATTGGTGTTGCTCGACCATAACTACTGTTATGTGAAGCTTATGACATTAATGATTACAGTTTTGGAAATTTATCATCCATTTGTGACCAGTGGAAAAATATAGATGCACACTTGAAATATGACTGTATTGTTATCTATAAGGGTCCGTTTGATTGCAAAGATCGAATTTGAGTGGAAAGAAAACGAATTTCAGGGAACTGAATTACCTAGAAATTGTGTTTCCTATGAATTGTAAATTATTGTGTTTTATTAGTATAATTTTTCACTTGGAAAGTGTTGAAACAAAAGTATTTTTTGGTGTTCGTTTGGCTTTATTTTACATGAAAATTGTCAATTATATGGATTGAATTTACTGGTATTGGGGATGAAATTTATTTCCATTGCCAAAACAAAAAAATCAAGAAAATCATCTATCTTTTGGTGTTCGTTTGACTTTGTTTTACATGAAAATTGTCAATTAAAGAGAAATATTTTTTTACAATAATTTTTAGAATTTATTTTCATTGTCCAAAAATAAAAAAAAGTCAACAGTAGTCGGGAAATTCAATTCCCACCATATGGTGGGAATTGATTTTCCCACAAAAGCAAGAAAAATGCAATTTCCAAGAAATCCAAAAATTCCTATTCCATAGAAAATAAATCTCAATCAAACACGCCAAAGTCGGAAAATGACATCCAAATTTCATTTTCTATGGAAATAAATTGCCAATCAAACGGTGCCTAACTGTTTCTTGTGAAATTAGGACCCTGAGACGAAATATTGTACATTTTAAATTAGATTAAAATCTGTGATGATTTTGATAGATATGTGACATATGACACTGAAAAAATGACAATGCATGTATAATCTGTGACCTGCACAACATGTTTTGTGACCAGTGAAATTTAAATAGTGGGATGCTATCCTCAGTATTGGGATTTGCTGTTGATACCCAACATCTAAAGTGTAAAGTAAGTGAGACATACAGGCAATGTTATAGAATGATTTATGATCTGCGACCTATTAATCTGACATTGCAGGATCGAAATAAGGTATTTATGACATACTAATAGTATCATACGTAGATTGTGACCTGTAGATATTGGTTGCAATATTATCCTTGACCAAATATTTATATCGTATGCTTAAAAGTAAGAGAATTGTGACGTATCGACAATATCATTACATTATTTTTTTATCTATAGATATTGGTGACCTACTAAAACTGTGAATTGTGACTTGAGCATGCAAATGTGAATTGTACCCTGTGCACACAAACCTATGACCCCGAGCCTGTGTACACAAATATTTGACCTATAACATTTTATCATAAATTTGAGCTTTGACTATGTCACCTATGCACACAAAATCGTTTTCCTATGACCTGGGCAAATAAGTATGTGACATGTGACCTGGGCAAAAAAATATGTGACCTTTGATTAAGAATTGAATTATAATATAGCCATGATAATATGTGACCTGTGACCTGGGCAAACAAATCTGTGATCTTTGACCTGTGTTTAACAATTGCCTTATAACATATACATGATAATAAAAGACCTATGACCTAATAAAGTATAAATTGTATTGAACATTCAAACAACAATAGAAATGCGAAACTATCTGAAGACATATGAGCAACCACAATTTCAGTTTATTTCATGAACATAAATAATTCAAAATATACATACATCCTGTTCCCAACATTCGTAAACATAACACATCTACTAGTCATTAAACTGGGATTCTACAACCACTCTATTTCAATGCTCTCTCATTTTGGTTTCATCAGCTTTGTCATCTTCTTAATCTCCTCATGTTTAAAGAATAATGTAGCGATGTCCAACTTAGCTCGACTAGTATTAAACACCATCGGCATAGATTCATGTCATTACCCGGAAAACCATACATCTTGTGGAATCATATATTTTCATTCCTGCATCACATTAAATAAAGTATGAACTACAATCTAAGAAATATATTGTGCATGTACACACAATCATCTAACAGAAATTACATTTGACTATCTAAGAATTCGTGACTAAAACATTACAGAATCTTAATAGTATGCATAGGTGACATAGTCAAAGCTCTAAAAACCATTACTAAAACATTACTAAAACATCTCACAGTCTCAACATAGTTCATATTGTTGGTCACAATACACATTCCATATATTTGCAATTAACAGTAGACAATGTAATTGTTTAAGACTCGCCATGAAAGATTGTCTAATTTTTCATCTCTGTCGATTACTCATACAACCCAGGTGAAAAAATTGGAACACACTATTTTTCATGCAACCGAGTATGAGTCCATATTGGACACACCCACCATAAAAGTCATAAAATATATTGGTCACAAGGATCATATTAATAGGTCACAGACGAAAGTGAAACATGCTACTTTTCAGATGGTAATAAATATGCATAACATTTAGTAATATAACCATATTTCTCGAATCGGAGAAATTTCCAACCAAATTTACAATTGGCAGGTCATACTTACCCAATAAATTTGAAAAATAAATTACCCATAATCTCAAAGGACAATAAAATAAACTTACCACCTTCGATTTAGGTTTTTGCGTGTCAATCGGAGTTTTGAGGGTTTCTATACAAACTTTTTTTGTGACTTTCGACCTTCTTCATTTTTTACGTTCACAGATGGTTGGATGTGGAACTTCGCGAAATGGGAATCGAAGGCAAGAGTTCAAAAGAGATAATTTCAGAGCTCTCTGATTCAGTAAAACACATGTTCATGGAGTTGATTGACACAATAAGTTGTTTAAGAGATGGCCCTTCCAAATGGTAGATCAAGGTTTTGGCCACCAATTCAATGCACAGAATATGTCAAAACACTTATGCTAAGTCTTGATAACAAAGAGAGTGAATGCAGTAATGGAAGATGGAGTTCAATCGCGAATGAAATTAAGGGGAGATATTTGAGGATTCAGTTATGAATCAATTTTTAAGAGATAGTGTTTACAAATTTAAAAACTCTCTCTTCAGTTTAATGTAAATGTCGGCAATGATTACGTTGAATAAATATTTATTTACAAGATAATAAAATATTAATTAAAACCTGATTATTGAAATATGAAATTTAATCCTTGATTTCTGAAAGTGGAATATTAAAAGCCGCCCAGGCTGTAATTTCCTCTTTCACTTTTCAGAAGTAAATACCAATTTAATAATACAAATTACAATAAGCCCATTGAAATAATTATAAGAAGTAAATTAGGTTCATTATTGGTTCATGGCTTAACAAGTTCACAACACATGTCCCCATCCGATATCTTAAGTAAACTAAAAGTATTCCCAAATTCTATCAAACTAGTACTGCTACCTTCTATTTTTTTTAAATAGTTAAATAATGAAATTCATCAATTCTCAATAAACGTAAATTCTATCAATCTTTGTACATCTAAACATATCATTTTCAATAATTTTTAGCATCTTACTAGCAAGACAGAATGAGTTGTAACCAAACTATAATAGTAGAATTTGACTCTACCTTTACCAATTGTCATGTGACAATGAAAGTCAAACAAAAAGAGGTAAATAAAAATGAAGAAACTTGTATTTGTTCTAATAATATCTTTTAGCAACCAACATTGAAAATAATTTATTCATGTGTTTCATGGTAAGTATGAATGTAATTTAACATTTAGCATCATTAATTTTTGTTTAAACTTATATGTTAACTTGTTTTAAATATATTATTATAATGTCGATAGGTAAACTACAAATTAAAACCGAACCAAACCAAACCGTTAATTATTGTTTTGTTTAGTTTGGTTTGAAAAATAAAATGGTTTTGCCTTTTTCCAAACCACTTGAAATGGTTTGGGTTGAAAATAAAGCGCAAATCGTCCAAATCGAA